CCCCTAAAGTTTGTCTTTAAATCCCGCTTATAATCCAGCTATTGTTTTGTACCCACAATTCTATGTAGAAGAACTCCCAGTTGCACGGCTTTTATACATTGTATACATTTGTCTTTTGGCAATGATTAGTACAAAAAAAACCTGACCACCTATCCCATCCAGTAGATGGTCTGAAATCTGTTGTAGACGGATGAGAAGTCAGACCCGGCCAATGGCTCATCCTGAGCCGCGTCACCTTCCCGTGTAGTGAAATGTCACCGGCATTCAGCGGATGGCTAATTGTCCCCGGAGGTGAGCCGAGGTTAATCATCTCCTCTGCGGTATATCACGCATAAGAAGCAGCTTTGTGTGCTGAAATGTCAGCGGATGACGGGCACAGCCCACTGTACACACTCACATTAAGATGCATCAACAAGACGCACAACCTATTGTATCTGCTGTGTGCGGGGTAACCAGGAGGACGCTGGAGAAGTCAGGACTGTGCGAGTCAAGGGTTTAGATCAGCCGTCCGTGGTCACCATAAGGATTCATCATCTACAGGCAGAATGTTCAACAACAATGAAGAACTTGTGATTTCCTCATCTTACAGAGCACCACCAAGACCACGGCGATGATTTTCTACAAGTGAATCTTCAACAAGGTCCTATTCAAGAATATAAGACATGTGAGCAGTCTCTGCCAGTCTCTTCATATATCTGAGCAGTCTCTTCATGTATCTGACACATCCAGGCAGGACTCCACTAGACCTCCGACGGTATACTGTGATATCTGGCACCAAGCCATCAGTAGCAGATCCCAAGTCCTGTAAGTTGTGAGGTGATCGGCCTCCATGGACCGGACTGGTTTCTCCAGCACATCCCACAGATGATCGATTGGACTGAGATCTGGAGAACTTAGAGGCCAAGTCATCACCTCAAACTCATTGCTGTGTTCCTCAAACCATTCCTGAACCATGTTTGCAGTGTGGGAGGGCGCATTACCCTGGTGAAAGAGGCCACTGCCATCAGGAAATAACGTGTCCAGGAAGGGGTGTACTTGGTCAGGAACAATGTTTAGTTCGGTGGTACGTGTCAGAGTCACATCCACATGAATGGCAGGACCCCAGGTTTTCCTGCCAGGACATTGCCCGAAATATCTCACTGCCTCCGCCGGCTTGCTTTCTTTCCATAGCGCATCCTGGTGCCATCTCTTCCCCAGGTAAGTGACACACATGTACACCCGGCCATCCACATGATGTAAAAGAAATGTGATTCATCAGACCAGAACACATTCTTCCATCGCTCCGGGTTCAGTTCTGATGCTCACGTGTCCATTGTAGGTGCTTTTGGGGGTGAACACGGTCAGCATGGGCCCCCTGACCGGTCTGTAGCTACACAGCCCCATACACAACAACCTGCGATGCTCTGTATGTTCAGACTCCTTTCTATCAGAACCAGCATTCACTTTACCAGAAATTTGATCTCCAGTATATCTTCTATTGGATCGGACTACACGGGCCAGACTTCCCTTCCCCCCGTCCATCAATGAGCCTTGGAAACCTATGACCCTGTCACCGTTTTCCTCCGTTGGACCACTTTTGGTAGTTCCTGACCACTGCAGACCGGGAACATCCCACAAGAGCTGCAGTTTTGGAGTTACTCTGACCCAATCGTCTACACATCATAATTTGGTCCTTGTCAAAGTCCCTCAAATCCTCACACTTGTCCATTATATCTGCTTCCAACACATCAACTTCAGCGACAAAATGTTCACTTCCTGCCTAATATATCC